TTCAGACACGCGAAACGCACCCTGCTGACCTCTGTCTCCGGTGTAGCTTCCAGCGTCTGTTCCTCGACCTCCATGGGTCCAAATATCTCATCTAAATCCGCGTCTGTTATCTCTTCCATGTAGAAATTAGGCAAACTCTCCATGACACAAGAAGGCAAGATGGCGGACCAAAAAAATAAAATCGTCTGATCCTTGGTCTGATTCAGTCAGGTGATGTGGGCGATACCACTTTTTGTAGGGGTGTCAAAATAAGTATGGTTTTTGCTCTCCCGTTCAAATTCTATCTATTTACATATACATTTCATACTCACACACATTTTAGTTTATATGAAGCTTAAAAAAAAAAACATAATTTTGTCTGACCAGGAAACTGCTATGAATATTAACAGAAAGAGCTGTGTACCCCTATATCATTATGGTTTCACCCATGGTTTATGGAGAATAACGCACGGCTGAGCCATGGTTTATCGGAGAATAAAGCACGGGTAACGGAGGCCTCTGATTGGTCTACGCCACCCGGCTATATGATAATAAACATTAAAGGGTAACGCATGCGAAGGATCAACGCATTTAGTCTGTAACAATGAATCTCTTTTCTTTCCCAGCTAATGAAAAGAAAGAGATTCATTGTTACAGACTATTACTACTAAGACAAAGTTCACCCAATCTGGTACACAGTACGATACATTCCATGAATTATTGTCATGTCCAACTACCATATCTGATTACGTAGGCCAATTTCTGTACACTTTATTTTATAATCGAGACCATATCATCAATACATGAACATATTGTAACTCATATACTGTATAGATAGTAGTTTGTAGTGAGAAATGTAATAAGATTGTATTTCTGTATTTCTGCCAAACATTGTACCATGTACGATTGTCGAGCAATAAAGTTCATTCATATTCATTTAACCACAGCTGACTGTGAAAGATTTGTGCATCTTCTTGTTTGAAAAAAAAAATCAATTAAAGACACCTCGAACAGGTTGTAAAAGACTATCTACCGAAATCAACGTTGAAAGACTGAAATGTCTTGGCCATTGAGAATGCACTACACAAAAATGCATTTAACAGCCCTGAATTAAAGACCGTCTAGGAAAAGAAACATGCAGAGGCAAATCCAACACCACTTGGAGAAGAATCATGAAGAATGACCGGCCATGGGACTATCCTGGCGACGAGTAGAGAAGGATTGACCCAGATGGAAAGTTTAAATCCTGGCCATGTCTCGCAAGGTGAAAAGAAGATGAGTAAGAAGGTAAATCCGAAAGACATTAGAAAGACAGTGAAACACGAATTACCCGTTTGCTAAGTTCTGTTTGATCTCCAGAAGGTTGAGTGCCTTGGGATGTCTCTGGTACTGAAGAGCGGCGTGATAGCGGACGTGCTCCTCCTCATCAAACAACGCGCTGTCCAGGAGAAGACTCGCGGCCTGGGGTGGGATAGGGTCTATCATTGGATGAATGAATCAAAGGTCTAAGAACCTTATAAATGTTAATTTCTCTGTCTTACTACGTGTAGGAAGTAACAGTGATGTTATTAGTCTAGATCTTTGTAAATGGAACCACAAAATAATGGCTTAACAATAGAATAGAATAGAATAGAATAGAATAGAATATAATAGAATATCGTTGGCCTTACGACAAGTATAAAATGAGCTGCCAGAGTTCATAAGATCTCAGGTGGACATTGTTCGTTATGGTAATGTCATGTTTGTGGGGTAAATCTTCATTTGTGGTAATAGATAACAAGATATTGAAGGTGCCAAATTACAAATGTAGATGGGGAAAATTAGGCCATTCCAAAAAATGCATTTAGACTTTGTTGGACGATGTTATCATAAATGTTTCCAACTTGTAAGTAATTGATCTAGATAATCGCCAGCGGTTAATATACGTAAGATCCAGATAAAATAACGCGGCAAAATAGCCTTGTTCGAAAGATGCAGTTTCCATGATCTTCAAGGTACAGCAAATGTTAAATATTAGATATAGAAGTACATGTACAAATAAATTATAATTTCATAGTCAGCTATGCCTGACATCTAATTAAACAGGATTAGACAGGATTACGCTAAATTATCTTTAAGTTAACTCACCTCGCGGTGGTCAAACTTCCTGATTGCATTCAGCGCACTTCTCCGCAGCAGTGGTGGACTGTCTGTGTTGTTTACGTAACTCAGGAGGTGGTCAAACGAGCTGTCAAACCCAGCATTCCCGAGAGACTCCAGGAGTGTAGCTTTACCGTGGTAATGTTTGCCTAGTTCGTCAGCAGTTAAGGTGGAACGCAGTTGCCGGTGATGCCAAGGATCTATAATAATCATATTTATAATTAGGACGCTTTTAAATCAGGGTAAGGGTTATTACTTCCGACCTCAAGTAGAAGGTAATAAGCTAGCTGATATAGCTAGCTGCGCCGCGTGCTTGCAAAGCTGGTGTGTTACGCCGAAGGGCGTTTATACTGGCTATACTGATACAGATACAGATAAGAAAGTATTGTTTTGGGTGTCTGAATTGTAGGTTTTATAGTTTTATGTAAAAAAAATAGCGACGGTTGTATGGAGGGTGGCTTTAGCAGCAGATTCATAGAAAGGTCAAACCTGACGGTGACCCAGCACGCGTCAGTCAGAGTGGGAGGTATATGGAGGAATTCAGGAAGTGGTTGAAAACACTAGTTAACATTGTAAAATCTCCTACTCTGTTAATTTCAATATATCAAAATCAAAACACTTTCTAGAAGTCTCAAATCCACGATTTTGTGTTCGTAATCCACCAAAGGAAAAACAATGTAATTATTTCACATTTTAATTTAGTGCTACTCTACCAGCTACCTTCCTGCAAAGTTGTTGACACAATGCTTAGATTCTATAGATAGATTTAATACTAAAATATATTAGGATATTCACTCACCATGGATCCCTAGGCTGTCCTCCAGTTTTCCAACAAGGCTTTTTGCTGTCACCTTATCCGTTTCCCCAAGTCGGTCGGCGACAACTCCCAGTATGAGAACAGCCGTGTTGTGGACTAACCATTCATCCTTAGGATCTATATATATACACATGTACATCGGTACCAAACGTTGAATAAAAAAGAAGACACAGGCATTCTATTGGATGTAGTTAGATGTACATATATAAGATAATAAAATATGATTTGATATAATATAATATAATATAATATATACTACAACAAAATTATCACTTATAATTCATATGTATGATAAATGTCTAAAATGTAAATTTGAGTAATGTCCAAAAAGTCTATTTCTTCAAGTGATACGTGAATCCAATTGAACAATAGATCTGGTTACCAAACCCATTATAGCTCCTGAGTCCTATATCCTATTTGCGGGAGGGTAAAATAGATTTGGTAACCAGGCTGATTAAACAATGGATTAATGATATCAATAGATGACTATCAATGAGATGATAACGTGTTTTGATAAAAGATTGCACAGACTAAAACATTTCTTAAATCCAAGCCATTTAAACGTATGGCTTAAATGTATGATTTTTGTTGATTAGACATTAGACTGTATTTTGATTAGACAAATTACACGAATGAACTGTCCTCCATACCTTCATACTCGATGTTTCTTGCGAAGCACAGGTCCTCAAGAGCTCTTACAAAATCCTAAGAATGATACATGTATACCGATACGTTTTAATTACCTCTGACAAGATAAACGACAGATCATTGAACAACTAGTTGGTCAGGTTTGGTTTGGTTCGGTTCATTCCGATCTCCATTAGTAAATACATCCACTAACCTTCCTGGAGTCCATTTAAAACAATATTATACAAAACATAACGGAATTGAATAAAGAAATAAAACAGAATTGACAAGAAATACAACAGAATTAACAGAAGACTTAACATAAACTGAACTAAAATCATTAGCAATTCATATAAATCAACTGTACAACAGGTTACAACCAAATATAATACATCTGATTAAAGAATTTAATGATGCAATTAAAAACTCTAAAGTTAAAGCTTACATGATAACTAGTAACTATTAACTAAATGTTATTGCTATTTATTGGAATAAATTGGTAACTTGCTTGAGCTTCATAAGAATTACATTTACCATGACAGGCGGGGTGGTCATGCTGACAAAACTGATGAGCATACGCTGGATGAGTTTTGCTGGAGCTCCCCTGGCCTGTAGAACAGTCTTAGTCAGGAGCCGCTGTGCTGCTTCAGTACCGAGGGTACCCAGGGTGTCCACCATGATGTTACAGTTGTCCTCTTCAATGGAGTTTGAGTAGTTGACCTTAACATACTGATGTACCAAGACACCAAGGTCATTCTCCGACAACCGGTCCATTAGATCGACAAGCTGAAGGAAACACTGCCGTCTTTGCTTTGATTCTGAAACGGTGCGACAGGTAAAATGTCCTTTTATTAGTCAATTGACCAATATTTCGTATTATTCTTTTTCGTAATGACGTTATATTGTTTTAGTATTTGAAATGATACAACTTACAAAAAGTATAAGCGGCATGTGTGTTTTATAGATATAATGGTTTAACTGGTGTTACTATAAACCCAAACACAATCAACACTAAACTGATCGAAGTAAACTTGCTGGGGGTTTCCAACAGTCATCTTAAATGTGATGTCTTGCTTTAATTCCAAGTAGTCATACCAAACGTGATTCATTACGAAATCTATCAAACTTAATCTGGACAATAATTTGAATTCATTCGCTTCTAAAACACATCATCATCCTACCTTCTCTCCTGCTGTGACTCCTCACACATGTTATATTCCCGAAGATGACATCCTTTATCTGCGCAAGGTCAAGTTCAGGCAGCTTCGGCTAAAACATTCAACCAAGATATGCTTAGCAATCATAAAGTCTTGTTTTACAAACATTTAATATAATGATACCAAATACAAGACAAAGCAAAATATTCTGGATGAGGATATCTGATATTGATATTTACTGTCATTTCTGTGCACATTTTCCTCAACATTTCGTACTTGAATTCTTGAGATATCCCCGAAACAAGCTACACCAGGAGTTTTACGAAAAATAGCGTTCGTTTTATTTTAGCGACATTGCTTTTTTGCCTCACAGATACCGGTATGGTCATGGAATAGGGCTTATTCAATTTACTACATGAAAAAATGACCATAAATATGACTTTCAAAAGCCAATCTTCCAGCAATGAAATTGCTTTGGGCGCTTTAGAGAGCATTACGAGAAGGTGTCATATATGATGACTGTGCTTTAGCCTAATAATAAATATATGTGAATAAATGAATAAAAAAATATCAATACCAAAAAAGAATATTACTAACATGTATGATGATAATACAGCCAGTGGTGAGGTTGGAGGGTGGAGTGACGTCATCAGCAAACGGTTTTATCCCGACAAGGGTCATGTGACTTGAGGAGTTCGCATGCATGATGGGAAGATCTAAAACAAGCGCATAAATATCTTCAAACGGACCGAAAAGGTTAAATTTAGAACAAATAACATAAAAAGGACTTGTATCAGGCATATTTTGTCCACTGTGTAAACAATGATTTGCATGGGCAAAAAATAATAAAACAGGTATAACTTACCGACTGAGTCTCCCTGAAACTGTTTGTGTTTTTCTGGATCTCCTGGTAAACCAGCTCTTGGGTTGAACCTAATAACAAATTTGCAAACATAAAAATTCATAAATCTTTTCATTTGGTAACTGCGTTTAGAAAATATATCAATATGTCCACATATCTGTCTCTTTTCGTAATTTCATGAAACAGTTATAACAAGACTTTAGTGATCTCATACCTCCATGGAATATATGAGTTTTTGTAAACGCTTTTTTTTACACAGTATACTACAGAACAGAACAACATAACACAGGCTTTTGTTTTTAAACACACAACTAATACAGTAGCACCTTTGGTCTGAAATAGGTCAGCCTTTTCCAGAGGGAGAACCTCATTAATCAAACCGGCGCGACCGCTGGTGTTTTGTTGCACAACCGGCACATCTGTTTTCCCTGCCTTACAAAACCGGAAGTTCTGCTGCAGTACCAATGTCAGCCACCAGGAGGCCCATATTGAAGCTTGCCCTTTGTCTTCCTAAGACCTACCAGCATATCAAATATCATCACAATCCATGAAGGCGTACTGAAGTTATGCTGACTACAAATGTGCGGAAACACAAGCACACACACACACACACACACACACACACACAGACGCGCCAAAAACAATACCTCCATTTTTTATTGAGGTAATAAACATCTTACCCCTTTTTGGTCTCTCTTGGAGCAGTGAAGGCTTCATCGACGAGAACTGTTCGAGCGATTCCCAGCTCGGAGCTGTAGGTTATTTTCTGCAAAGACGTAATTCATATAAAGTTAATAAGTTAAGATCTGCTACGTTTTAAAGATAATTCGTTCATATATCATTTACACACAAGTAATTTCTTAACACGTCATCTTGGCATTCTAATAACTTTTACGTTGACAAAGTGGCTACAATATCAAAATTATAATAGAAAGTACCTTTTCATGTTTCACTTTTGCATTCTCCACAACGTGTCCATGCTTGGTTCTATGGAACACCAGTCCTTCAGGTGTAGGGTTGACTTCGTAGGTAGATGCATGGTCACCTAGAGAACACAGATGGATCGAGAAAATAAGATTACTACCATAAATACAAAATACAAAAATATACGTCTTTTATGATAAAACCTATACATTTGATTCAAACGTTGACTTGATTTCACGACCATTGAAATGGCAAACGTGTTAAAACACGTTTGCTACATCTCTTCACATACCTTCATGTCCGGTTTCATTCAGTTGGTACAGCCAAGTCTGGCGCTTCTCAAGAACCTTAGAAAATAGAAAATATTGAAATAGAACAATGCTTTAATTATTCCTAGCAATGTCTTAAAAGTGTTTTTGGCGTTGTATGGGATCGGGAATGATAGCTGCTGTTACAGAAAATGTAGGAAAAAAGTCAACATTACCATACTGCAGTACTATTCACTGACGCTGCTTGTCGCTTTTGTGCTATATGCTGCGTTTTGGTACTCTTTGCGTACGTGTGATTATTAATACACGTTAAACTAGGTTTAGCAGATACACAACTACAAGTGTTACTCCAGCGGAAGACAACACACCTTGTCACTTGCATGAAGCCTCGCAGACAACGTTCCTATCAGCGCCTTCTTGATGTTGAGAACCTCGAGGTCTTCGTCAGGCGGGTGGAAGACCTCAGTAACCTCGCCATGGCGAGACATCAGGAACGAAAACCTGGAGGTCAAGAGTACCTACATTAGTGAAGGGTATAAACATTTTAAACGGTTAACTATGATGCTATGATTGCCATTCTGGCTTAAACTTTTGCAATGAGATATGCTGTTTAGCAATTACTATATTTAATCCTTTTCTCACTTGATAAATATAAAAACAAAGTATAGGACTATCTATATGTTGTATACCACCATAACACTATACGAGTTATGTTTAAGTAAACTCTCATGTGTTAAGATATATGATACCTGTGCTGCACGTTTTTAAAAAGCTTTCAGTAAGATCCGTCACATTTGGGCTATTTGAGATTGTAAATTAAATGCTTGCAAAACCCACCATCCAGATGTGTCCCAATGTCTTGAATGATCATTTCGCCCTGGAAAAAATAACAACAGGGACATTTTTAGAAGAAACTCAAATGAGTGGAAACTAAATCTTGAATAAATAATAGATCATTTCTACCAGCAAAACATGAACCCGTCTTTGCATCTTCTTTGAGGCAATGAAATAGTTTGATTAGGAGGCTTAACGGCATTTAAATTTGTGTAGAATACTAGAAAGAACTAATGTTTACAATAAAACGATGCTCACCATTTGCATGCTGAGAAAATCTCTCAATGTACAGCTGACAGAGATGATCATCGGCAGAAACATTCAACACTCGAACGTGTACCTGTTGAGGTGAAGCCATACAGAATTTATAATCAAAACTAGAACCGGGGTGTCCGCCTTTATAATTAAGGCCCTTCAATTCCCACTAAATTCTAGGCAACGTAACCAATTCTGCCGTATCGTGATCCATACAACCGGGCCGCCATGTGGCTCACATGTTCGGTGAGGCTGCTGGAGTAACACAAGCGTTACCCTTTTATACAAGTTTATACAAGTTTATTAAAAGTCCAAAGGAGCTCGGAGGGCAAAAATTGCCCGATTTATGTCCTCGTTACATAATTCATGAATCAATGTACACATCACAAAATTTTACATTACAAGTAACGTTACACGCAGAATATCTTAAAAAACAGCATCTTAATTACAACTTAAATCGATCCATAAAAGCAAAGCGAACACACTTAAGCGACGGTCACAACTCGCCGTACGTGCTTCTGCGTGCTGTCTACGTGCAAAAACGTGGGCAAACGTACGGCATCCGTGCGTGGTGAGTACCGCCTCCGTACGGAATCCTACGGATTTGGGAGCACGCAGACACGCCGTAGAACCTTAAGTGAATGTAATACTTTTTCTACGTGCGGTCTGCGGATTTACCACACGTGCGTGCGAGTACGTGCGACGCGCGTGCCCCGTACAGCCTATGAGCGTGCAACGTACGGACTCCGTGAGTCTAACTTCACTATTCTCACGTGCAATTGCTGTACGGACAGCGCACGAAGCACGTCAGTGCCACGCACGGTGCTTGCGTCATTCGTGCTTACTCCTCACTTCCCAGTTGACCTGCTCAATGACCACGCAGAACACACGTGCACCATACTAGGTGCTCCGCACGTGCAACGCACGCGCAACGCACCTTATTTCTACAGTATATAAAGACGACTTGACGGGCGACTGCCAACTCGTCTCCAAGATGCCCAGGAAGGCTCAGAAGAAGTCTACCAGACAAGATCCAAAGAAACGGGCCGCGGAAGACACCAGGGCGGCTAGAGATGATGAAGTTAACAGGAGGTGCACGCACTTACAACGTGCGAGTGAGTAAGGAAATCGTGCGCACGCCGCACGTGTAGGTACGGCCTGTACGCGGCAACGTGGCAATCGCACAGAGATCGTACGTTGTAAGCACGTACAACTCACTTACCACTTGCGCAACGTACGATGCACGCAACCGCTGACGGTCAGGCGTGTCGTGCAGACCACGTACGTACACCTTGCGAGTGACGTACTCCCTCGGCCGGCCACCCTACGTTTGCAGAAAAAACGTAGCAGACGTAGCCATGACAAAAACGTACGGACAAAAAGCACGCACGGCGAGTTGTGACCGAGGCTTAAGCATTACATATATACAAACTAATTACTGTGTTTCAAGTGTTGGTCTGTTGTTGTACAAACGGATATCACAGTGCAAGAAGGGATTGTGCAGTCTCTTTGTACGAGCTGGAGGCAGACTGATCCTCTCAGCGTTTCTCAGGGACAGTCCTGTTGCTGCAGACCTAGTGGGCGGAACCAAGTCGTTTAGGGGGTGGTCATCTCGCAGCATTCGCTCAAACAGGTGCACTGCTGCCTCCTCCCTCCTCGTCTTTAGTGTGAGCAGATCGGGTACGCTCTGACGTCCTCCCAGGGAAAAGATGCGGAGGGCACGGCGTTGGACCCTCTCAATGGCCATTTCTTGCTCCTTGCTGCACCCTACCAACAGCACATGACAATATTCGAGGACAGGTCTTACTAGTGCCAGGTAGATTTGCACTAGATCCGTGACACTAGTGCCTTCCTATGTGAGCAGGCACAGGTAGTGCAGTTTCCGCGATGCCTTGCTTGTCATGGCAGTGACTTGCTCGCTGAATAAAAGGTTTCTATCCAGGATGAAACCAAGTCCCTTCGCCGATCCGACCGATGGCACAGGTTGGCCGCCCAGGGTGATCGATGGAGGAATGGGAACAGATTTACTGAAGCAAGTCTGTAGAAGCTGGCTCTTGGAACCATTCAGGATCATCTTGTTTTCCTCCGCCCAGTCGTCAAGGTGAGAAGTCTCCGCCGCCACGGTTGTATCACGCTCATAAAGAGTAGAAATAGGTTGGGAGAGAGGACTCCGCCCTGTGGCACACCTGACGGCGTACCCTTTGTGACAAGATTACCGAAAACAGTGATTATGGTAACGCGAGCTAAAACGGCGCCTATGTTTAAAGCGCGTAGGTAGAGGGCGGGCTCGATGACCTGCCCAACTTGGCCGGGAGTGGGTAGGAAGTGGCGGGGGGAGGGTAGGAAGTGGCGAGGGGAGGGTAGGGAGTGGCGGGG